GCGAGTCGGTGTGGCGAACGCAGTAAGCGGAATTGTGTCTGGGTGCACGGGAATTTGGTGGAAGGAGCCTGTGAAGTCGAAAAGCGAGAAGATGGAGCCCTGGTTCAGTTTGTTCATGATCTCATCCACACGAGGAACAGGTAGTTGGCTGAAGCTGCTGATGCGGTTGAGTTTCTGGTAATTGACGGTGATGCGAAGCCCACCAGATTTCTTGGGAATGACGACGATGGGGCTGCAGTACGGAGAAGTGGAGTGTTGGATTAAACCTGGCCGCGAGGTATTTATCCAAAATGGCGTCCACTTGTTTGGCGACCAGAGGGTTCATGCGGTAAGGCTTGGTTCGCACCGGTGGGGAGCCGTCCGGAATGTCGATTTTGAACGGCAGCAGCGGGCAGCAGCCCAGGTCCGTTGGTGAAGTGGAGAAGACGTCCCGGAAGTTGTGTAAGACATCAGCGAGTTCATCTATGACGGCAGGCGTCCAGCCTTCGCCGTGTAGATTGAACGTAATGGCTCGCATGTGCGGTGGTAGGCGGTCCCAAAGAGATAGGAAGCTTTTCTGTTGAGCGGCATCTAAGCGGTCCAGAAGCTCCTGTGGTGGAAGTGTCGGTGGAGACGGATTGTTGTGAGGGGGAGGGGAGTGCTGTGCAGGTCCCCCGATATTGCCGGTAGATACGTTGCCGATGAAGGGATCATCACAGTGTGCCGCATCGGCAAAGTGTGTTGGCCCTGGCACTTGGAAGTGATTTGACTGTTGCCTGTCGCTAAATTGTTGGATAGTGTCGATAGATACACGCATGAGAGGGGCGGCTGCTGTACCTAATATGTCGCCCGGCTCAAGCTCTGCGCATCCTGCGAGAGATAGAAATTGGCGGCCGTGAGACACGAAGAGTTCGTCTGAAGGGGACAAATCTGCAATAGTGTCGACTATGTAGTGGCCTTCCAGAGCAGGATATCCATTGGCGCGGACGAGGTTGACTTCGACCAATTGGTGATTTGACGAGAGAGAGATTCCAGATTTTCCAGCGTATTTGAGGTGGAATCTTCCTGGAGCTGCAGAGGGATCTGGAATGTAGGCTGATGCGCCGCAGGCTTGGTGGTGAGAGAAAGCATATTCTCCCAGCACGCGTTGTGTTGGAGAAGGCGTAGGTAGCACGGTGTAGGTGCGGTTGGTATAGCGCATGAAGCTGTCGCGTCCTAGTAGAAGTGGCTGTCGCATGGTGTTGGCTGGAACTACGTGAGCCCAGACGGCGAGTGAAGCAGTGGGTTGGTCCTTGTGATAAAATTGAACACTGAGACGTACCATCTGATTAGTGACGAGTGGTCGAGCGCTACCGAATCCTCCCCAAGAGCGAGTGTTGTTAGTGGCGATGCAGTCTTGTGTCGCGCATCCTGTGGCTCGCATGGTGCCGAGAGCATTGCTGTTGATGAACGTGGCTGGAGAGCCGGAGTCCAGGAGAGCGCCGCAGCGGTAACCTGAAGTTGCGGAACCTGAGTGTATGCGCACTTTGGTGGATTGTGAAGCGTCGTCAACGGTGACAATACCGTCAACGAGACTTGGTCCATTTTCAGCAAGTACTTTGGGGTGATTGTCGACGTGGAAACTGGCGGCCGCAATGTGGAGAATGTCGTCGTCGTAGTCGGGAGGCGCATCAGAGGGCCACAGAGCGTTGATACCCGTTGGCTCTGGGGGTGACTGTGAAGTTGGATTGATCGCTTGCTGATTGTCGGTGTTGATCTCGTGAATGCCGTTATTGTCGAGTGCGGAGTCGGTGGGGTCTTCCAGTGGCGGCATCGGTAGTGGTGCAGAGGAGCGAAGCAAGTCTCTAACCGATTAAAGTGCCTTACCAAGTAAATTTTTGCCTGTCCAGTTGGAGGGGTTGGCTGCCTCGGGGTGATCGGCTCTCATGCCGATGCCCCATGTATTGTCGAAAGGGCTGGCTTCGGCTAGAATGCTGCTGCCTGTATTGAGAAGATATTGACGCATGGCAGGATTTTGGGAGAATTTCTCGAAAGTGCCCACAAGCACGATATAATCTCTCACCTTTTCCCATTCCTGTTGCGTGAAGCCACGCACTTGTCGTCCGTAGCGCTTGTGCATTGTTGGGTCTGAAGAAAGCATGATGTTGTGAAGCATGCTTTTGTCGCCGAAGTGCCGTGCCTTGAATGCCGCGAAGAATTGTTCGGCACAGGAGTATTCCACTCCATCGACCGAAAATGTCGAAGGTGTCCATTGAGAAAAAATGGAGGGCGGTTGCCAGAAAAGAATGACGTTATTATTGACGTACTCTTGTGTGGCATCAAAGGCAGTGTCGTGAGGCTGTCGGTGTTTCCGAGAGCTCTGAGGAAAGTGCCTGTATTGTCGTTGCTCAGTTGATGGCGCTGTTATAGTCGCTGAATCAAGTGGCGGACAGTCGGAGGTCCGCTGGCTCCGAGTGTCGTCATCGCTTGGAGTAGACGTTCCTGGTAGTAGTCGATTCAGTCGAGTAGAAGCAGGTGGCTCTGGTCTAGTCCACCCTGACGGGGGGCGCGAGCTTCCCATTCTTTTAGCGGGGTTCTGTCCAAAGCGTCCTTCGGAGAGTGTGGGGTCAGCACCTTCGCGGGTACGGGTAGAACTCTGGGTTAATACAGTAGAACTAGCGGTAGCGGCGGCGTAATTTTCTGGAGGTCGCTGTACATCTTGTGAAGAGCTTGGTCCATGCACCGGTTCGAAAATTGTCGAAAGTGTTGCACTGCCAGTGTCTGCCGGTGGGCCCGCTGCAGGAGCCACCTGCTGAGGTCCTAGGACATTACTGGTATGTGGAGCATTGCCGGTGTCGCATGATGATGCCGAATGAGGTTCTGGCGATCGTGCAGTGTACCCACGCCTCAAAGCCATCGTCTCTCCAGGGGGGCGAATCCTTGGAGTGGCGGTTGACTGAGCTGGCGGGAGAGAACTGTAATCATACGTGGCGGTAGTGCGAGGCGGAGCTGACCTCGTAGTGCCGCTGTTGCGAGAGCCGGTGGAGATACCGGTTGTCGAAGACGGTGAGGGTATTGTCGGAGCAGAGGCGTGATTGGCGTGTGCTGCGCGAAGTGCAGGTGTGCCTGTGGCAGACGGTTGCAGTTCCCCCTGTTTAGTGTCGGCAGTACTAGGCTGTGCATTGCTAGCAGTGCGAGGATGGCGAGGGCCGGTTGTAGTGTCGGTTGTCGGCATGCGTTGTTTTATTGACGTGTCCGAAGTCGAATTGTCGTGTGTTGCGCGAAGTGCGTGTGTGCCGGAGGCAGAAGTGTGCAGTTCTCCCTGTGGTGCTGTCGGCGGCACGGGGACGGAGGGCGTACCGCCGCTGCGGAGTCATCCGCGTCCGTTTCTGGTGCCGGTGGCGTTGGACGACTGATTGCCGTGAAGGCGTGCATCTTGAGAATTGACGGTATTGATGGATTGTGCCGAGGCAGCAGATTGGGCCGGTTGATAAACGGTGAGAGAGCCCTGTTGTTGGCCGTTGTAGGCATTGGCGTTGTTGTTGCCGCTGGAGTGGGTGTGGTTACCATTGCCGTGGTTGTTGTAGCTGTTGTAGCCGCGATTGCTGTTGCGCCGGTTGTTGGTGCGACGGTTCGAGTTTTGGCGGTTGGACTGCTGCCTGTTGGGGCCACGGGTCGTTCTATGGCATCGTAACCGCTGAAGCCAGGTTTGGAATGTGTCGTCATTGTCGTTGAGGTGGCGGAGATCTTCGTTGAGAATGCCAGAACGGTTGGTGAAAGGCTGATCACAGTTGCGCATGGAGTGTGCCGTCGAATGGCAGTTGAGGCAAAGTCGTTGATTGTCGCGGAAGGCTTGTTCTCGTTCGTGTCGTGATACTAGTGGCGTCCAAAGTGATGGCAGTTTTCTGGATGTGAAACTCTCAGAAACCTGGAAGACCGTGTACCAGTGGTCATCGCTAGCTAAAGGCCACGCATTGTAGTGTTGATCAAAAACATCCGAGTGCGAGTTGGATCGAACGTTCATGACTATTGGGTTGCGTGATGAGCCTGAGGCATGCGATTGTTGTGACGAGGATGAGCGGTTGCTCGACCTGTGCCCTTGTGATGGAGTAGAAAGTGAAAGATTCCCAAAGGCAGCAGACACAGCACCATGGCCTGGGCCGTTGACAGCTGCAGTCTTGTTTGACGAAAAATTGTCGAATGCCACCCACATATCGTCTAGTGTCGCATATGGCGAAACAGCATTTGCTAAGCTACCCGGGAAGCAGCTAGTCATCATGCTCGGAAATTGATCGTTGATCTTATTCCGCGTGACTTCTATGACCCAGCGTGCATCCGGTGCCAACAAACTGGAGTAGTTGGTGACGTTGGATACAGCTACTCGGTACTGCTGCA